TTGTATGTTCATGCTTACGATTAAACCTAGTGGAGTATGAAAGTTTTATTCATGTATGGTATATATTTATCTTGTCTCACACATGCAATCTCTTCTCCTTTGTGCAGAATCAATCGGCGGCATCGAACGATCCTCATGATTCAGCGAATCCTTCACCAAATCAGTGATGATACTTGTGGTTGTTAATGATACTTCTATTTGCAATTGTGGTTGACGATGATGGAGCACTTGGATTGCTTGTGAACTTATTTGTGATATATTGTGAGACATGTGACGTTTGTGATATATATGTGACGTTTATGATATATATGTGGTGTTGGTGATATATATGTGATGTTGATGATATATATGTGATGTTGGTGATGTTTGTTATATATATCTTCTGTTTGTTTGGATGGGATGTAAAAAACAAATAAAAAGGCTGTTTTCAGTCACTTTGCCGAGTGCAATAGCCACGACACTCGACAAAGTGACCATCTGGAAACTACCTGGGAATATGCTTTGCCGAGTGCAATGGCCATTGCACTCGGCAAACATCACAGGTTTGCCGAGTGCCACGGTCCATGCACTCGGCAAAGGCGACCACTTTGCCGAGTGTCTTGTCGGCGACACTCGGCAAAGCAGGTACCTTTGCCGAGTGCTTGACCTTGACACTCGGTAAAGCCGCCATCACGGTGGCGCTCACCGTCACGGCCACTTTTCTTTGCCGAGTGCCCGATAAAGTGCACTCGGCAAAGAGGTCTTTGCCGATAAACTGTTTACCGAGCGCCCCGGCAAAGGCTTTGCCGAATGTAAATCGGCCTTTACCGAGTGCCTCAGGCACTCGACAAAGAAGCCGCCTCCGGTAGTACCAGGTAGACAGAGAACCAGATGCATACATATAACGCAGCAGACAGAGCACCGGATTCTTACATATAACACAACAGACAATTGTACGTAATGCAAACCACCGATGCAGTAATCGGTTTTAGGGTTTTGGTGGCCGGGGGCATCGGACGAGGGGGAGTTAAGGCAACGTCCCAAAATGAACGCTGTGGGCCTTGGTGGTTCGGGCGCGGCGCATTAAGGGCAAGGCCAGTTGTTGCTGTCTCGCTCTGCGTGACAAGACGAGGCTTGGTTTCCAGCTCGGGCGCCATAACGGTGATGGCAGGGGGCGCATCAGGAGCATTCAACAGGCTGAGGGGCACCATGTTTGGTTTCTACGGTACCACTTAAAATTCCTGTCACGTCTACGAGTATTAAATATAAACTAATTATGAAACTAATTACACAACTTGCGACTAATTTGCAAGACAAATCTTTTAAGCATAATTAGTTCATGATTTGACAGCGCTGTGCTACAGTAAGCATGTACTAATGACGGATTAATTAGGCTTAAAAAATTTGTTTCGCAAATTAGCCTTCATCTATATAATTGATTTTATAATTAATCTATATTTAATGCTTCTTAATAGTATCTAAACATTCGATGTGACATGAATTTTAGGAGCGACTAAAGAACCAAACACCTAAACATGTTCAGAGGACCCACCCGGAACAGGAGAGGTAACAGCGTTCTTGGGAAACTGCGGGCTCGCAACCACCTCAGTAAAGTCGTCTTCCACCTCAGGGAAATGGGGGTGGTCAGTCGGAGCTTGCTTAAGGCGTTCATGGCGGCGGCGAGGGAGGAGTGAATGAAAATGCAAGAGGAGCCAAGAATGATGGCACCAACGGCAGCTAGGATATTAGCAACGTTTTTGCTAGAGACCATCGATCTAAACACACCCGACGCCACACGCGTGGTTCTAAGGCAACCCGGACCGGCAAGAACTCGTTGCAGTGCATTTTGCATGAAGAAGGTATTGTAAATGGGGCTATGGGAGTGGGGGGTTACCCAAATCGGAGCCGGAGTTCCAGAGGGTGCAACCAAATTTGGTGCGATAGTGCTGTGAAAGTCTAGCAGAATCCTTTGTTGGAGAATTTCCCCCAGCGTGAGTGGAGGCACTGAACGGACATGGCCGGTGGTGACAGCTGCCCCAAGTTGACGTCGAGCAGACCTTGCAGGGGGTTTGAACGACGTAGACAGGTTGCCGGTGTAGTGGAACGACGCCGCCTACAGAGGTAAGGACCAAGGAGCAGTAACCGAGGCGGCCCGAATGGCGAGGGGCTGCGGTGGAGGCGGCGGTGGTGGCGCAGGAGGTGGAGGCGGTTGTGGGGGCGGCGGCGGCGGTTGGGGTGGTCAGTCGGAGTTTGACCGCCATCGTCGCCGTCCTCCGCAACGAGAGGCACGAGGCGTGCCATTCGTCCTTAACTTTTCATGTGTGTTCACTGAGATTTTTATATCTCAGGGCGCGTTGAGTTCGGCAAAGTTTGCACCTGCAAACTTTGCATAGTGCACGATTCTTCACTGTAGCATTTCGTTTGTATTTGTGAATTACTGTTTAAACATTGACTAATTAGGCTCAAAAGATTCGTCTCGCAAAGTTAAAGCAAACTGTGCAATTAGTTTTTGATTTCGTCTACATTTAGTACTCCATGCATGTACCGCAAGTTTCATGTGACGAGGAATCTTGTTTTTGCATAGTGCACTTTTAGAGAACTAAACAAGGGCTCACACCCTTTTTCTATCTTTACATGCGCTCAGGTTGCTTTTGCGTGAAGTGTACACTCGGCACATTCATGTCATCTTTTAACGTGAGAACTTGTGATATTATAATAATAGTACTAGAACTTAGAGTCTCTGTTTATTGAGAAAATTTCTTTATTGTCATCCAAAGCTATATTAATCCCTTCATTGTCATTCAGATTGTTCCCTTGGTTGCCATGGGTTTATATTTTTTTTTGTTCCCTTATCTGCCATTGTTGTTACATTCTCGTTAATCCATCGTATACACCGTTAAAACATGTGGCGGTGCACGCACTTCCAGTCCAGCGCCTGGCATGCGGGCGAGCAGTAGATAGCGGCCCGCACGCCGAGCACCGCCGGAACTCGTGCCGCCGCGTCTCCCGCCGCCCGCACTGCTGGTGTGAGCAGTGTGCGCGTCGGCGTCGTTGCGATCGCCTTCTCCTCCTCCTGTCTTGGCGCCGGCGCCCACCACTCCACCATGAACCTCATCTGGCAGCGTCTTCTTCTTCTTCACCGTTTGCCGGGCGGTGAAGCGAGATGAGACGAGCTTCATGGCTTGGCGGCGTGGAGCAGGAAGTGGCGTCCGCCACGCATCATCGCGGGCGCGCCGTAGCCGTTCGGGAGGCGATGGCGAGCTCGCGGAGCGCCGGACGCGTGGCGAACCATGCGGCGCGCAAGACAACGCCACCCTGCGCTGGTCCTTGTCAGCCTTGTCGCCGCCGCTGCCGTTGAAGCGCACCACGGCGAAGCGCAGCGCCGCCGCGTGCCCGCCGCGCCCGCCTTCGCGCCCGAGGCGCCGCCCGTCGCCCTGCTCCCGATGCGAGAGAACCGCACTTGGCAAGGCATCATCAACAAGCCACGACTTCGATCACTCGAAACAAAGGAATGAATGGATTCGTTCCAAGAAGCGGGAGAGAGCAGAGGTCGCTGTTCGTTACCATGCCGAGGAAGTAGCGGCGTGGAGGTTGCCGGCGACGCGACCGCCACAAGAACCGGTGCCGAATCCGACCATCTCCCGAGCAGCACGGCGACGCCGCCGCCGATGCACGCGACAACACGCGAGGTGCGCCACGAGATCCCGAAACCTCCTGCACCTTTTGCATGCCGCCAACACAGAGAAGACTCGCCTGAGTGTACGAGCCAAAGGCGGCGGTAGGGTAGAATCAAGCAACGGACGGAGGAAGCGGAGCGAGACATGCTATGGTAGCTACTCACGGTAGTGCCGCCCGCAGCGAGTGGTCGGGCGGGCACCGCACGCGCGCCATGAGCCCGGCTAGCACGGCGAGCACGAGGTCGTCAGAGGAGGCGATCAAACGCAGCGTCGGCGACGACGCCACGGTGGCCGGACACGACCTTCTGCTTCGCCGGTAGCGTGGCCGCCTTACTATTACCGCCGCCGCAGCTGCCTTTTTGAGGCCGCTCCTCGTCGTCGGCTTCCTCATGGCGGCTGGCCAGCACCGGCAGGGCCGGGGGCGGGACACCCTGTGCGGCGCGGGGAGGGAGAGAGAGAGAGGGGACCGGTAGATGTGCCTGCGACGCGACGTGACGACGACGCCACATGTTTTAACGGTGTATACGATGGATTAACGAGAAAGTAACGACAATGGCAGATAAGGAAACAAAAAATATAAATCAATGGCAACCAAGGAAACATGTAAATCTAAATGGTAATGAAGGGATTAATATAGCTTTGGATGGCAATGAAGGAATTTTCTCCTATTTATTGGGTAACCTTAACTTTGGCCGGTGGTTCTTTTTTTTTCACAAACATGCCACTTGCATCTATTTCATTCAGGTTTGTTGTCACCACCGGCCATGTGGACACTCTAATCTTCTTAGACTTGCTCTGAACAATTGGTAACAGATTCTAACTATTGCATTGAAGAGAACAAGGATCACCCGTATTGTAATTGTGACTCTTCACTGGCCGCGGGTACAAAACCAGAGCTAAAGGCTCAGATTATTAGGCCACGACTGAATGAACACGCAAACGGCCACAAACATGACGCATATAGCAAGCTAAGGACATGCATGATGCTGTTGCGGCCGGCAACAAATTAAACAAAAAAGCAAATACATATGTAGCACACTGGCACAAAATATTAGCAATTTGAGGGATAAGGGAAGCAAACATGTATGGTAAATCAACCAAAAACACATAGCGGAGCTCATCCCCGTGCCCCGTATCTGGGTCCAACATCTAAACCTTATCTGCGAATAAGAAGGAAATAGGTCAATAAATGAAAAAAAAACTAACTCAAGGCCGTACTCTGAAGAAATAGAAATAGGAGCACCTATTGAAAAAATTGGCAGCCGTACGGTTGTCTTTTGGTTCTGACTCCGGCTTCTGAACCTTGCCTGCAAACAGGAAGCAAGCAAACAGGTAAATAATTTCCTACAAAAATGCCCAAGGCCATTGTCTGAAATAAGAGTTAGGAGCACTTGAACCTGCTGCTTCTGGTTCTGCTTCTGGCTCGTCATCAGGCATCTGGAGTTTGTCCTCTAAGGTCCTACACCCAATCAGTGAGATGAGGAGCCAGACATTGGAGATGAACTCCCCGCCTTCTCCCAAGCTCTTGGCGTGCAGGTCGCCCCAGCACATGCTGGCGGAGTAGCAGAGCATGCCCACCCACACGCGGTGCATGAGCTCCCACCGGGTCTCGTGGTCCTGGATGCCCAGTAGAAGCTCGTCTGCGAGCTTGCAAGCGTCGTCGATGACGGTGTACGCCTCTTTTTCTTTGAGGCTGGCTGCTTCTTTCTTGATCTTGCGTAGGATCACATCATCCAACGGCTGCTTCTCTCCGAGCTTGGGCCTCAAATCCTTGGTGGCTTCTCCGACGACGCGCTCCATGTTTGCCATGGCTTCGGTGAAGAGATGCTGCCTGCTGCCGGCCATCAGCATCTCGGGCCAAGAGTCGAGGAGGTACGCCATGTAATTGGATATCGCCTCCGTGCACACTTCTCGAACCACCTCTTCATTAGGTGGGGGCCTGAAGCGGAAGTACTCGGGAGACTTGACGCGGAAGCAGAGGTCGGTGGCGATGTGCCAGATGATGACGCTCGCGTCGAACGGCTTTTTACGCAGGCTGTCCCGGATGTTGTTGGTTTTGATGCTGCTAACTGCTTTCAGCTCCTTGTCCCTGAGAATCCAGTTGCGCTTGCTCAAGCTTCTGTAACTGGAAAGGTCGAGGTCGAAAATCTTGCCTTTGTCTTTGTCTTCGAGCTTGTTTGTGATGGAGTCCAGGACACGGACGTACAGGCGATCTTCGTCCTTGACGAAATAACCCCCCTTGTAACACCTGAGCAGCAGCATGGACACCATTGGCCACCTGATCGTCCAGAGAACCGAGTCCATGAGGTTATGCCCCGGCAGGTTCTCGCACGACGACGCTCCAAGCAGTTTGGCTCCGGACGACGACGACAGCAGCGAGTACATCACCTCACTGACGAACATCCCCAAGACATCCAGCGCCGCGGTGAAGCACAGCAGAGCGTACGTCGTGTTGACGTCGGCTCTGCTGTACCTGCTGTACCCATGCTTCTTGTAGCTCACCGCGAAGAAGAAGAGCACGGTGGCGGCCACGTACAGAGACGGCACCAGCATCGCGTGGCAGGCCAGGTACATCGCGGTCGCCCTCGTGTAGATGAGCCCGAACGCTTGGCGCAGCCAGGGCTTCATGATCATCCCAACTTTTGGGGGCTCCAGGGCTTCATGCTGCTCACGCCGCCAGGGCTTCAGAGGCTCAAGGATCTCCTGATCTGGCTTCGCCTTCCGTGTCTCCAGCGTAGCTCTAGCGGCGTGCAGCGACATGCCCGAGAGCAGCATCTGAACCTTGTCTCCCTGCAATAGCATCGGCGCGGTGCCGCGGGGCTTGAGCTCTTTCCAGCACTTGTACCAGTCGCCCAGCTTCGTCGTCCTCCCTCCTTTCGCCAGCGACGACTTGGCCACCAGCCGGCGGACGCTGGCTCTCCTGAGAACCCACGGCTTCCCGCAGGAGCTGACGACCGCGGCCACGAGCAGCAGGGCCGCCGACGCCAGCAGCTTGAAGCCGTCGCTGAAGTAGCGCAACGACGTGAAGAAGGCGTACACGGTGACCGTGACCAGGACCGCGGCGTGCCGGACCCACAGCGCCGTGTCGTCGTCCATGCCACTGGCGGTGAGCTCCTCCCGCCCGCCCAGGTGGACGACGAGGAGAGGTGCCCACAGGGCCTCCAGCGGCAGGGACCTCACTTGTTGGGCCCTGCTGTAGTAGTCGTCGAAGCCGCTGATTGCACCTACCGGCGGCCTGGCGATACAAGAGGGTGGCGAGCGCGTAGATCGCCAGGACGTCGGCGCAGATGGACGCCAGCCGGATGCATGCTCTGATCCAGCGCTGGACGGTGTAGTTGCGCATGGGGACGACCAGCACGAGGAACCACTGGAAGCCCAGGCTGCCGAGGACGAGGATGCGCAGCTGCCACTCGTCCCACCATTGCACAGCACTCCAGATGTCACTCATCTCTCCCAGACGAAATAGCTCTTGATGTGTATGTCTATATTTGCATCACTACGAATAAGACCACACAACTCTCTTTTCTTTCAGTTTTCTGAAACGAAGTTAGACCTCCCGATTACTAGTGTTTATATTGCATACATGTCCCCTTACACGCCTTCTAATGAACAGTGTTATGAACATTTAAGTATCCCTACTTTACTTTTATTATCAGTAATAACACATACTTTGTCAAAAACAAAAGAAAAAAGGAAAAGAGAAAAGGGAAAAGCCGTCGCACTCTAGTAGTTGCAGCTTTTGTTTCTATACCTTGCTTCCCCCTTTAATATCCGTGGCAATATTCCAAAGTGCCTCACGTATTAGAGACGATATATGCACATGATTTTGTTTCCCTCCTTTCGTGATGGTCACAATATCGATCGTCCAACCGCGACCCAGAAGTGCAATCAAATCTTATCTTATACTATTACTTTAGAGACATAAACCCAGAATCTCCACATTAATTCTCACCAAATATGCTAAAAAAATAAATACTAAGGTCCTGTTTGGCACGGTTTAGCTTCACCGATAAAAGCAACTATCTTAGTGAAGTTAAGCAGTTTTGAAAAAAAAAGTGTTTGGCAAAACAGCTTCATTAGATGGAGCAAATGAAATAAATGACTAAAATGCCCTTTATTTTTCTTTTCTTTTTATTCTTTTTCCTAATTTCCTCATGGGTCTTTTTCACTCGTCTTCTTCCCGAGCGCATCTGGCGGTGCCATTTCTCACAATGCGTCGATGCGTGGCCCAGGTGGCGTCTGCGAATGGCTCCGGCGGCCGAGCTGCTCGCGCCCGGTGGCCACGTGCCCGAATGGTAGTGCACCCCCGCGGCAGCACGCCCTAGCGGCCACGCCCCCAGTGGCCACGCTGTAACACCCTAGGTGTTTGGCTTCCACTAAAGTGCATTTCATTTCATAAACATATGCATCATGTATCTCATTATGCCATTGTACTGAAACATGCATATGCAACATTCGCAATTATGTTTGTTTCATACTTGAATTGCTTGTGAATGGTGGTAGTGAAACATGTGAATGCAACATGAGTTTCTCATACCTTGAAACATGGCAACATGGTAGTAATATGACAAGTATAAAATAACAACAAAGTTATGAAACATGTGAAACATGGAATTGCAACATTAGAGTGAAATGGATTGTTTTGTTGCTTCATCACATGTGATCATTAGAAGTTGGTGTAGCACTTGTGTAGAGTGGTTAATTAGTGTCTAATACACCTTAACTACACTTAGGGTAATTGATGGGACATTGTTCATGTGGATCAAAATGACAAAAATGCCCTCAAGTGGAGGTTTGACTTAGAATGACCTACAGAGTGCCACTGTTTGACTGATTCAAAAGACCAAATTAGAGACCTTGCATGGCTGTGCACCCTTTACCAAAGTTGTAGCCAATTTATCAAGGAACAAAAGTCTCAATATGACCATCTCATGAAAATGGCTAGAACATGTTCAAACAAGGCCCACAAGTCATATTTCCATGCTGGATTCACACTTAGAAAATTTGCTAAGTCATAAATCCAGTTTCAGTTGGATCGAGCCAACTTTGGCTTGATGTAACTTCTGATCCATGGAGAATTAGACGATGATCCTTGAATAGAAGTTGGAGATGGATGGTAGGCCTACAATTTTCATGTACACGGTTTTTGCAATGTATCAACGGTTTAGCCGTATTAACACGTTGAAGTCGCGCTGTCAGGCGGTTCAAGTCGTCTGAATGCGAGCTACAGTGAACCGACCGTCAGAAGATCACCGCCGCGTGTTTGCCACCCATCACTGGTCTCCTGCTCGCGCTGCCACGCGCCGCGAACGCCCTGGCACGGCCAGCCACGACTTGAGCAACACCCCGCGCGCCTGCCAACCAGCTCGCCAGTTCAATTTCCCTTCCCTCGGTTTCCTTCACTCGCCCGTAGCTCCGCAGCAACAGCCACCACGACTCCGACGAGCTCATGCTCGCGCGCCACCGCAAAAACGCGTCGACCAGCTCGTTCGTAGCTTCGCCGTGCTCTTCTCCACCTCCTCCACCTTTCAGTCGGATCGTTTGGGGCTTGGTAAGGGCGTATTCGCCATTTCTTCCACCGCCGCCATGGCGGGACCTCGCCGAAGTTGGCGCTGCACGCGGCCAACTGCCACCGCGGCCTTCCCATCCCCTCCTCCTTGCTTGGTTAGCTTGGTAGTGAACTCCGGAAGCTCGTACCGAGCTTAGCCGCACCCTACGGGGTCGGGCCTCGCCGGAGCCGGCCAAACCGTGGCCGTGCACCGCCATGGCCGTCGCCAACCCCTCTAGCTGCTGTAATCACTGCAATAGATGGTACCCTAGGTGCGCGCGGGTGAGGCGAACATGTTGGCACCGCTGGCCTCGCCGGAGCTGTCACCGACGACGAGCTACGCCGCCGTCCTTTCTTCCTCCCCTGTCTGACTCACTGACTCGCGGGGCTCCTTTGTCGGTCGCTGAGCTGAGGCGGGAACCGGCGTGGGCCGCGCCGAGTTCTGGACCACGCCAGCGCATGCTTCGCGGGCCGCCGTGTTCTTTCGGGCCGGCCCAGCAGTAGGGTTAGGTTTTCATTTTTTTTGTTTTGTTTATTCTTTTTCACAAATTTGTGTACATTTTCAAAAATATGTATCTCCTAGTTGGTAGATTCAAATGATATGGTTCCAATTTTGTTGAGTTCATGATAATGTCTAGTTTATATTAAAAATATAATTTATGCCATGTTCTGTTATGAAAAATAGAGTTGCTAATTATCTCTTTTAATCATGAGGGAAATAGGGGTAATTATATCTTTTTCTATGTAGCTCCAAATGGCATGAAATTTTTATGGTGTACTGCTCATATCATGAATAGCTTGTAGTTAAATTTTCATATATTTTGGACACTGTATGTAGGAGATAGGAAATTCTCTTATTTGCATGGATGGATCTTGTGTGAATTTTCATAATTTTTTTGTAGATCCAGTAAAGGTAAAATTTGGTGAGTGCTATTCTTATGCTAGAATGATGCTAGGAAAAATGTGAAATCTGTTGCTTGACACTTTTCATTAGGATTTCCTAAGTATGCTAGAAATAGACATGCCACCTGTTATTTTGGATACAGTAAGTTTTCCTTGCCCAATGGCTTTGAAATTTTTATGATAGTCTATGTGAAGCATGAGATAGCTACTGTAATTTTTGTAGATTTTTCTGAATACTTTTACTATATACTGCTTTAATCACCTAATTAACTAAATAAATTAGAAAAAGGGCATTAAAGAATTTATTTAGAAGTTGGCACTATACTTTCTGATGTTCCTCTGGTATGTGCAACAAGTTGGTAAGCTTGGTTTGGTCCAATTATGCTTTTGCATCATCACTAAATAATTAATTTAGTAAACCTGTGATTTTTGGACAGATTCTAGGTTTACTTGAATTCGATTTGGTTAACGTAAGAATCATGCTTTGATGTTTACAAATGATTTGTAGATAATTTCATAAGCTTTCCAGAATGTCCTCTTGCAAGTCATTTGAATTTATAGAACTCTGGTTGTGATTAAATTATGGAACTACTCGTTTGCATGTAAAACCTTAACTTTGATTTAAGTATGCCTTTACTATTTCCTAAGCTTGTGGTAATGTTCCTAGGTGTTAGGCCTTTAACTGAAGATGAGCATCTTTATCTTAGGTTATGCAAGTTAGGTAAGTTAATCTTGTTCTTCGAGTTAAGTTAGATACATGTTTTAAAGTGATTGAATAGAGCTATTCTTAATCGGTAAACGAGTGTCCAGTGATGTTTTCGTTAAACACTTACTGTGATTCATTCATCATGAGCATCATGTCATTCCTTATGCATCCATGATATTTATCTTGTGCATCGGCATGCAATAGGTGTACCGGAAGGTGTGACTCTGTTGGAATTCGAGGAACCGAGCGGGGAGCAGCAGCAGCCAACACCGGAGATTCAGGAGGTGCAGCCCTCGGGAGAAGTGTCAGACGAGGTCGCCGTTGAGTGCCTAGATCACCGTCCGTGCAACTTTGTGAAAGGCAAGCCCCGGAGCATATTAAGCCTCCTAATTTCCGAAATGCAGTTAAAGTATTAATTGTTACATATATATATATTGTTGCATTAAGTTTAGGTGTTGGATGCAAACACTTGCTGCATTGGTTATCCAATCCTTGTCCAGATATTGATACCCTGAATCCTATGTAGCTCAGGCTCGTGTAGTGCTTAGCCCTGCTTAAACGCGGTAGAAGTCAGGTGATTTCCTGTCACCTACGAGATATAGGGATATACATGTGACACGGTTGGCCATATTTGCTATCGTGGAAAAGAACACATCTTAATTTGAATTGAAGACCGAGGTGAGGCTTGCGGTTTGTAGTGACTCCGTCTCGTGTCGCTTAAGGATTTGAATCTTGGAGGCTTTTCTGTTCATGTTGAACGCATGCCTCTCTCTTAGTTGGCCGTGTCTGAAGACCGACCACGAAGCCGAGTAGCTCACCTCAGGCCAGGAGTCGATAAGTATAAAGCACGCCTCGGAAGGGAGCCGAGGCGTGAGTCCAAGGCGGGTGATTTAAAAGTCCCGATCGTCCTAGCGGAAGGGTAATCCACGAGAGGCTGGCTGGCTGATCGAACCCACAATTTGGTTTCTGAGTTGTACCAAAAGGTGACCAGGCTACCCTTGCAAAGTATGCCGGGGTGAGAGTTAGAATACCCCTCGGTGAGTTGTATTTCGATTCGAGTCGCCGTCTCTCCCGGTTAGTGAGAACTTGACGGGCTTATCTCCAAAGTAGATACACTAAATAACATAATGGTTCGGAAATGATGATATGATGATGACAGCCTTATTATACCTGCTATGGTTAATATTGTTTGCTCCTAATAAGTGAGTGCTCTAGTACAGGTGCAAATCTAGTGGACAGGTAAATAATGATCAACTTGATGCGAAGTTTAAATTGGTTACTTTATTCATAA